CAAATGTTGCCATGCTGCCCTGTCTTGCCTGGAGCCTGCTGCTTCGAGGGACCAGTGCAAAAAGGCTACTCTCTGGGGGAGGAGAAGCTGAAAGTCCCTGGGCCTCATCCTCTCCAAGGGGGCCCGGCCCTCGACCCCCCAAGGCCGCCCCCCCTCCTCCCAAGCTCTGAGCTCTGAGAAGATGGGGCCTGGCGCTGCTCCTCTGAGAAGCAGCAGCTGGAGACAGCCGTGGAAAGCTGCAGTCTTCAGGCACAAAGACAAATGGCCTGGAAAAAGAAGGGGTCAGCACCGTAGCAGGGTGTCCTGTGCCTTCCCACGGAGCCCAGGCTGACAATGCAGGCGTGAGCAGTGTGTGAGAGCATTTGCCTGAGTCCATTTGCAGACCATTTCTTGATGAATTTGGGGGGATGTCACAGTCGAGCCACAGCCTACTTACAGAGCTCATGAGTTTTAATGTCCTCAAGTTCCTTCCATCTATAGGCTCTTCAAGGATTAAAGTGCTTTTCGTGTCTTCTACCTGGAAACACTAACAAGTCTTGGGGTGCAGTGAATGACTCGATGAGAGAAAATAGACTACCTCTACTGAATGAACTCAAGGTGCCTGTGCCCTGGGGGTGGCCCCATACACAGGTGTCCTCCTGCAGCACGAAGTCCCGATGGGTGTGCAAGGGCCTTTCAGCAGCTCACATCCGCTCCACACACACGCACTCCTGTGCACACTCATGGCACCCTGTCATCAGCCCAGGGCTCAGGCTGCATCATTAATGACAGAATGGAGGGGAGCAGGACGCTCAGTCCTCCCGAGACAACCCTGTCACATGGCACTGTGGGTAGCCTTGCATTCAGAGTCTGTCCCCTGTTTCTCATCCTCAGGGTGGGGCTCTGCAGGGGGACTTTTGAGGGCCAAGGAGGCTGGCTCTTTTTCATTGTCGCTGTCCTCCGAAGTCTTCTTTCCATGGCGAGTTTTCTGCAATTTTCCCTTCAAGGCCTTGTCACATTTGCCACACTCGCCACATGTGCAAGGCTTCTCCTCGCTCTTGCTGCAGGCCTTCCGGCATTCATGCGCCTGCCGGTGCTCCAGGAGGTCTAAGCTGCTCCGGAACACCTTCTTGCAGTCTTGACACTTGTGGGGCCTCTCCTCCCTGTGAACCGCCTGGTGCTTGAAGAGGTTGGATCGTCTGCCGAAGGTCTTCCCACAGTCGCTGCATTCGTAGGGCTTCTCACCACTGTGCACCCGACGATGCTGACTGAGGCCCGAGCGCCCCCGGAAGGCCTTTCCACACTCCTTGCACTGGAATGACTTCTCCCTGCTGTGGATGCGCTGGTGATGAATGAGCTGGGAGATGCCCTTGAAAGCTTTTGGACACTTGCTGCACTTGTAGGGCTTCTCGCCACTGTGGGTCCGCTGGTGCTCGATGAGGTTAGAGCTCCTGCTGAAGGACTTCCCGCACTCATTGCACTCGTAGGGCCGCTCGCCGCTGTGGATACGCTCGTGCTCCAGGAGGGCAAAGCTGCGCCGGAAGAGTTTCCCACACTCTGAGCACTTGAAGGGCTTCTCGCCGCTGTGGATAATTTGGTGCTTGATGAGGTTGGAGCTGCGCGTAAAGGTCTTCCCGCACTCATTGCACTCGAAGGGCTTCTCACCGCTGTGGATGCGCTGGTGCTCCAGGAGGGCGAAGCTGCGCCGAAAGAGTTTCCCACACTCTGAGCACTCGTAGGGCTTCTCGCCGCTGTGGATGATGCGGTGTTTGATGAGGTTGGAGCTCCGGCTGAAGGATTTCCCACACTGCTGACAGAGGTACCGCTTCTCTGCGCCTTTGGAACTCTGTGGCCTTGACACTGAAACCTGCCTGACGCTGTGGTTGCTTCTCTGCACTGGCTCTCTTCCCGCCCCCGAGGAGCTGCCTTGGCCTTTCTCCCTGTGATGGTCACCCCTGCTGGAACCTGCCTCTGGAGAACGAACAGGTTTCTGTGTCTGCTCAGGTGTCTCCAACAGCAGCCTGGCTCCCTGGCCCTTGCTGCATTCTTTTGGACAATGTTTCTTCTTGGAACTCAATGTCTTGCTCTTGATCCTTTCATCTGTAAAGACAGAGGGCACCAACCGGTGTTGCTCCCTCCCTGGATCTCTATTGAGGGTTTTTTCTTCACCCTCACCCTCATGCCAAGGCTGAGAAGAAATGAACCAGGAGATGGTCTTGGGTAGACAGACAGGAAAGCGAGAAGGGAGGAAGTGGGGTGAGACAGTAGGAGGTGCTCCCTTCATCTGGTGCCTCCATAGGGGGGGACTCCTTGGGGCATTTAAATCTGCCACAAAAGAGAGTTCCCCACCCAAAGTGACTGTGCCACCCACCACTGGCCACTACTCTATGCGAATGGCTCAGGCAAGCTGGCCGACCACCTTTTACTCACCTGCCTGTGTTCCTACGGCAGCCCTTGTCCGGCTGTCTGTTACCCAGGGCCACTCCCCTCGCTCCAGCAGGGAGACCAGGTGAGGCTTGGAGGATGAAAATCCTGTGCACGGAAATGAAGTGAATCAGTGTCTTCAGGAACAGAGAACAAAGAACTCTCCAAAAAGTGCCACTGGAAGGGTCCAGAGAAAGGGCAGAGTCCCACTCACGAAGCAAAGGGCTCTAAGCCTACAGGGGCCAGGCAGGCACAGGGGATCTATAGTAGATGGCGATTTGGGCCATGAGGATAAAGATGTTATTATTTGGAGAGCAGCAGGCTTGTGGGGACCTCTCTGTGTGTGGATACCCCGAGGCATAGCCAAAGGGCTAGAGCAGGGATCCACCGGGGTCAAGGCCTGAGGGAATATCAGGAAGTGAACAGAGCCGAGGGGCTGCCTGCACCCCTTTTGCCCTTTGAATCACCATCAGACAGAGCAGATGTCTCAGTTCCTTATGCCAAACTCAGCTGAGGATTCCTGAACTCCCCTGGGAAGCCCAGATCTTCCTGGGAAGGGTCAGAAAGAACCCAGGGGAAGAAGCTAGTCTCCCTTGGTGTGGGCAAATCACAGAGGTGAAATCTGTTGACTCTAAAAGAAAAATTGGAGCAAGAGGGTCCACTGCAGCCCCAAAGGCAGCGGGATGCAGCAGGGGAGTATGCCCCAGCTCCCACCCCGGCGTCTACATGTCTTGGCCTGGGCCTCCATGTCCTGGGCCCTCTGTGGCTTGATACTGCTAAATTCTAACAAGAAACAAATGTGAAATGCAACCTTGGTAAAAGTGAATTAAGTCTCCAGTAGGGCATAGGGTAATTTGCACCATCTTTTGGGTAGAAGAAGTTTCGTTAACCTGAGTTTATATGCAAAATAACTTTGATGAGGGAGGGCACATATTTACCCAAAACATTTACAGGTCCAAACCATTGAGCTAAAAACTGCCCTGTTGAGACAAAAGCTGGGCTGCAATGGATTATGGATCTGATGGGGAAATGCACTTATTTTTGGCCTCACAGTAACCAACCAGCAAAGAAACTCAAAAATAAACTGAGTTCAGCCTGGCTGGCATGGCTTAGTGTTTGAGCATCGACCCATGAACCAGGAGGTCACGGTTCGATTCTCTATCAGGGCACATGCCCGGGTTGCTGGCTCAATCCCCAGTGTGGGGCATGCAGGAGGCAACCGATCAATAATTCTCTCTCATCATTGATGTTTCTACCTCCCTCTTCCTCTCCCTTCCTCTCTGAAATCAATAAAAATATGTGAAAGAAAGAAAGAAAGAAAGAAAGAAAAAGAAAGAAGAAGAAAGAAACAAACAGAGTTTAGAGACAAAGTAGGAGGCACTGGGTGTGTGGGGTCCTTACCCAGTGACACTAAATGGCGGTAGTTCTCCAGCATCACTTGCTTGTAGAGGATCCTTTGTTTGAGATCCAGAAGCTTCCATTCTGTCTTGCTGAAGTGCACGGACACGTCCTCAAAAGATACTGGCACCTAAAACAAGCCATTCCTGTGACTGCAGGGAAATTCACCCTCTTGGGGCCCAGGATGAGGTGGGAGCAACTAAGGATGGGGTAAGGGCGGTACTGGGGAGCGCAGCAGCCGGGGGAGGCTCGGAGTTGCAACAGTTGTGAGGCTGGGACACGAGGAGGTGGCAGGTGGAGACCGTGAAGGGGAGATGCTGAGGCGAGGGGCAGCCCGTAGCTGGGAGACCCACTCACCTTGGCTCTGGTCGTTAGGAGAATGGCTGCCATGGCAGAGGCAGGGAGAAGCTAAGGGAAGTAGAAAGAGGTAGGTGTGAGAGGAGGCCCACCCTACTCCAGTACAGCCCATCCATTCCCAGCCCCTGGGGACAAAATTTCAACATATCTTTTCAGGGGACACGATTCAACCCATAACACTTAACCAAACTGAGCTTCTGTCCCCTCTCCTCACCTGCACAGTGGGCCACAGACACGGATTTACTCCCGCTTCTGGCCAGCAGCCCAAACTAGGCTTTCAAGGGAGTGTGTTTCTTTTCTTTTTTTAAAATATATTTTATTGGTTTTGTTTTTTTTTTACAGAGAGGAAGGGAGAGAGATAGAGAGTTAGAAACATCGATGAGAGAGAAACATCGATCAGCTGCCTCCTGCACATCTCCTACTGGGGATGTGCCCGCAACCCAGGTACATGCCCTTGACCGGAATCAAACCCGGGACCTTTCAGTCGGCAGGCCGACGCTCTATCCACTGAGCCAAACCGGTTTTGGTGGGAGTGTGTTTCTTTAAAAAAAATAATTTTAGTGATTTCAGAGAGGAGAGGAGAGATAGAAACATCAATGATGAGAAAGATTCACTGATGGGTTGCCTCCTGTATGTCCCCCACTGGGGATCAAGCCCCCAACCCAGGCGTGTGGCCTAACCGGGAATCGAACCCAGATCTCCTGGTTCATAGGTTGATGCTCAACCACTGAGCCATGCCAGCCGGGCTCTTCTTTCCTTTCTTTTTCTCATTTCCTTCTTCTCTTGGCCCTTTTCTCATGTGGGCAGTACCCCTGACCCAAACTTTCCAGCCATCCCTAGAAGCTCTGCCGCCAACCCCCTTTCCCCTCAGGTCAGGGTTCTTACAAAAAATCTCTAAACATACCGCCTCCACCTGCAAACTTTCTCTCAAGGGGAAGAGAAAGACCAGGCTGGTGAGCTGCACAATGAAGGGACCCCCGATAGCGGTGGTGGGAGGGGGGAGGGGGTGCTTTCTGAAGAAGTAACTTTTAGGCCAAAAGATGAAGGTTGGGGTAAGGAGAACAGCAGATCGAGGGCATGGCCCATGTCCAGCCTTCAGATAGGCCTGAG